CCAGGCTCGCTTGACTGGTTATTTAGAAAAAGATACCTAACCTCACAGTGGGGCTGATCCTCACTCCATAAAAACACTATGCACAAGAAGAGCTGCCAGTACATAAAGGCTCCAAAGTCCCTTAAAATTAGGACGGTGTGGACCAAACACCATTAGCACTGAATGTAGATCACCATTCTAGCTGTCAGCTGGCCAGATTCCTGAAAGTAGGATATGGAAATACACTGCTTGTGACTTAGTGATTTGGATAGTTTTTACTCCACTTAAATGCCATAATTGACTAACAGGTTTGGGAACTTAAGGTGGAGAGTGAACATCATCAATCAGAAATGCATTGGCCTAAACATATTCAACTCCATACCACTTGGATACCAAAAAGTCCTCGGTAGATCCCACTCAGATTTCCGCTAATACAAGTGGGCTACAGAAACCACAAAACAATAACCTCCTCTGACATAAAGTAACTTAATTTCATCTAATGGGCTGTAAGAGCAACCCCAATAGGCAGGATCAGTTCCACCACAATAGAGACCATTTCAGATTCCCCTTTTCTTAGTATATGCATAATAGTTCACAGTCCACTGCACCAGGGCATATATTAGGTACATAAATAACCAGAATAACTTTAAATAAACCAAGGAGTCAACGTGCCATCTACTATTCAATAAGCTTAGATGCCAGAGTAAGCCCTCCTAGCAAAACAGCCAGCTGGAACGTGGACATATGATGAAATCTAAACATTTAATCTAGCCAAAACAAAGTCAAAAGATGACACTTAATGCCAACATCAGAAGAGAAAGAGAACCACCACCCCCTCTCCCCCTCCCATTCACTCGTCCAACAAGCATTTTCCTGTGCCCATCTGTCAAGGGAAACCCTGGTGGCATAGTGGTTAAGTGCTACAGCTGCTAACCAAAAGGTTGGCAGTTTGAATCCAACAGGCGCTCCTTGGAAACTCTACGGGGCAGTTCTACTCTATCCTATATGGTTGCTATGAGTTGGAATTGACTTGACGGCAACAGGTGTTTTTGCTTTTTTGGCATCTGTCAAGGTGCTGGGGGTTCAAGGAAGAATAAACTCACAGGCCTTCATCACGATTTAGTGGGGAGACAAATGGATACAAATACATTGCCCTGCACGGTGATAAGAACCATATAAAGAACAAAGCCTCAGGGAAGCCTGTTCAGAGCCAGGTATGGCCATAGGGTGGTTTTCAATTTCTTTGCTGTCCTCACCTCTCAGATTGCTCTAGTCAAAAGCTTGGCTGAGACATTGGATATTTGAGAAAGTTAGTCTAAAGAACATGTTAATCACTCAGTCCTCTAGGTTTTCTGAGCTCTGTTTCTGAATTGGGAAGATCGCCAGAATCTCCATGGTTGGACCATGGTAGCTCAGGGCCTCGAACTGCATACCTTTTCATCGTAATAACCTTCCACATTTTTTTCCTTTGAGGATTGGTAAAAGACATGGCCATATAAAGAACTTTTTCATTTTCTTCAGAGTTGAAATTCAAGCATTGTCCATTATATGGTTTGATATTTCATAGGAGGATCTATAGGATATATCTCCCAATTTAATCCTAGGACATATTTATTATAATAAAAATATTGAATCTATATTAGTTAGCAAGCACCACAGAAAGCATTCTTGAATTGTTATTTGATCTTTCCTTATAACTTTGATGCATATCTCCCATCCCCAGGCCCCCTGTTTCTGTTAACTGCTAAGAAACTCAGAGCTCAAAAGCAGCAGGTACTTGGGATTTTAGTTTAATTATCTTCCCTCGATAAGATTCTGATCTTTCTTCCCCTCCCAGTTTTGCCAGTCTCATGGTCACGTGGGATTTTTACTATGCACTTACTCGGATGCATCTCTTAAAGTCGATATTCCATAAACAAAAACAAATTGCCATAATCATCAAATGTAATTTCCTTTTACTCCCAATTGTCAAGGGTTTCCATGAATAACTAATCTGAAGATGACCTCCTTGGGTATTTCACTCTCTGGTCACTTGAAAACCCAATCATACGATATTTCCCATAATAATCTAGTTCAGAATCTATTTAGGAAAGTTTGAAACAGTAAAAAGGGAGAGATTGACTTACAACATACGGGAACTACCTACCAGCTCATTTCCAAATCACCCACAGAGGGCTCTTTCTTATCGCGAGTGGATCACGACAGTCCCGTTTTTGTCCCCTCCTCAGCTATTACTTTTAGAGTTCCAGCAATACCACCACACAGCCCTTGGTCCTGTCAGGGCTGCCAGGCCACAGGCACCGCCAGAACCTGCTGAGTGAGAAGGCACTGCTATCACCCAGTGATGTCTCTGCCCTGGAATTTCACTCTTTGCACTGACAATGCCTCTGGAACTTGTAAAAAGTCTGTTGAAACCCAGGGAGCTGAAGGTTAATGTCTCCAGGGAATCAAGGTAAAGCGTAAGACAAACTCTGCGGCTGAGGATATCCATGCACAAGGGCAAATGCCCCCAGGAGGAACTCACAAAAATAACTCTCTGCATTGGTACTACACAGAATTGGGGGCGGGGGGGTGGTGGTTAGCAGCTTTCATCTCAAAGGCAAAGATAACACTGAAGATTGTACCGTATATACATGGGACACCCACTGAAGCACAAAACTGGTATACCCAAATGGCACCCATTTAGAATGCTCAGACAGGGATTTTTGGGGACACAGTGTTTGGGCACAACCATTCATTTATTCAACAAACATTTACTCGGTACCTACCGTGTGCCAAATTCTATTCTAGACATTCGAGATTGGTGAGTGAGGGAGATTCCTGCTGTATGGTATTTACATTCCAGACAGAGGAGACAGGTAATCAACCAATAAACAACTTTAATGAATGAATAAGATTGCAAATAAGGCCAACGAAGGAAAAAGAGGAAGAAAAAAAGGTTTGATGGTTATGAGAGGTAATGGGGGAGTGCCTTTGCTTGTGTAGTCAGGGAAAGGCTTTCTAAGAAGGTGACACACAATCTTACGCTAGAATGACAAGAAGGAGCTAAAGAAACCATGAGCATCCTTACTCTGGTTTCCATCGAAAAGGTGAGCTTATCAACAGAAGAAACATGTAACACATTTGTGGCTCCACATACCCCATGCTTCAAACAACTGCAAAAACCCCAGGGAAGGAAATTCATCTACAACTTCCTTTGCTCTTAAGGTGATTTTAAGAAATCATCTTTTCCCAAAGATGCCGGTTTAAAAGGAAGTTGTTTGAATCCATCTCTAATTACAGCAGAATGTACGACAGAGAAGGGAAAAGGGAAAAAGTGCATTTGTAATGTAAGTTACTTTATATAACAATATTCCAATGTTGGTAAAATTATCCCTTTGTATTGTAATGCCAACAATAATTGCTTCAATAAAAAAAAAAAAAACCCAGCTCTGTGGCTATATTTAGTACAATATACTTTCACTCACTGTAAAATAAAGCCAAATTGTATTTACTAGCAGACAGTCTCATTTCAATATATAATAAGCCTTTGAAATTCATTAAAAATAAGATTTTGACACTATCTGTTTTATATTCACAAATAATAAATAGCCATTTGTTCACCAATGCCTTCATGTATAATTTACTAATACATACTATTAACACATTATTTGCCGAACAAATAATTTACTCTTGAAATTCTGTTAGAGTCAATAAAGACACTTAGCCAACTGGCATGACATTTACCTAAAAACATCCACTGCTCAAAATACATTTCATTGAAACATCTTTTTATTAATGTTTCCTAGTCCCTGACTTGTTTCAGAATAATGAGAGATAAGGAGAAGCGAATTAGGGCGTAGATCAGTCACAACGAATATTCAGAATGAATCACGGAATCTTTTGGCTGAAATGCAATTTTATTCCTTTGCAATGCAGGGCAAGCTATATATTATTACAATGTAAATCAGCATATAAGCGAAAATAAGGTCAAATAATGTAAAGATATTGCCCAACAGGTCTATATTACCTAATGCATTTATCATTATAAGAATTGCTGGGCTCTGATCTTAAAGCACTGCCCAAGGAATTTTCAATTTCTTGTACTTGAAAACAGGTTTTTAAAACTGAATGTAACTAGCACCTAAAACCAATAACATGCTAAGGGGAAGAACTTATTTCAAATGTATTTACTGATTAGGCACAGTGTTTAACTCTTTACAAATTCTAAATTTGTGTAGAGAGAGGAGGAGGAGAGTCTGAACTTGGTTGTTCAGGTAAACTCTTTGACTCACTTTACGAATTGCTATGCTTCTAGGTCCTTCCTTTAAAATTCCCCATTTGGGGAAAATTATACACTTAACCTATAGTAAATACAATGGCATCCCATTTCCTCCCCCTTCTCCTAAAAACAAATCAGAAGGTTTAAAATTGGCACTAATAATAATCCTACAGTGGTCGTTGGGAAATCCTCCTCCAAAATGTCAACTGTAGCTAAGAAGGTCGAAATCCACTAGGAGGAAAATTCCCCTATATAAGTCTTTTCGCAAGGGGTGGGCTGAAGTGTGCACAGCTGGCACAATTCCGGGAATCAGAACTAACTTAAGGCGACCCAGAGGAGGATGCTGCATCGAGAGAAGCGAAGTAAAGGACCGCGACCTAGTTGCTGTTGTGTGCCATGCAGTCCGTTCCGACCCCTAGCGACCCTACAGAACAAAGTAGAACTGCCCCCTAGGGTTTCCAAGGCTGCAAATCTTTACGGAAGCACATCGCCACTTCTTTCTCCTGCTCGACTGGCTGGTGGGTTTGAACCGCCAACCTTAACCGAGCGCTTAACCACTGCACTACCAGGGCTCCTCCCGCGACCTAGGAGGGTAGCGAAATCGCCACCGATTCCCCAAGGAGGCGGGGAGAAGCCCAGTCGCCAGGCACTGGCAACAGCGCACGCCAACATTCAGGAAAATTCTCCTTTCCAAACCCGGAGTTCCGGGACAGAAGGAAAAAGGGGGATGGGGAACCCACAGTTCCTTTAAACCGCCTACCCCGCCTCGGCGCCTGCCAACCTTTTCCGAACCCCCGTGTCACACAACTTCCTCATCATGGAAACTTCCACTTGGTTCTGCGCTGAGGATGCCAAACTCCATTTCACTAGGAGCCTGTCAACAGCTGGGCTTGGGTTTGAGGGACAGAGCCTCTGCGATTAGAGGGAGCCCCACAGCCACCCTGCTCCACCACTGCCCACGCTGTGGCTCCCTGACTGCCGCCGCTGTGTCTGGGCACGAGAGGGCACCTTCTCCCAGAGCCGGGGCGTAGAAACCCCGCGGAGGCAGGTAATAAGGCGGTTGACACTCCTCACCCACCCACGCCCGCCCTCGCGCGCTAAGCCTCCTTGCCCACACTGCTTCAGGTTCCCGAGACACCCCCCCGCCACCAGCCCGCCCGCCCTCTGGACACTTAGGATAGTCGCCCCTTCCTTCCCCCCACCCCCTCCGCGCGGTCCTCTTGCCAAATTACCGGTGCCCTCGAGCCGGCTGGGTGGAGCGCCCCTGCCCGGGGAAGGCAGCCTGCGGGCGCTTGCCCCGAGCTCGGGGAGCAGAAGGTCTCCTTTCCAAGCACACTCACATTATTCATGCAAAGTTAATCCCCGCCGCGTCACGGCCTCCCGCCCGAGGATGTGCGCCTTCCTTGGCCAAGCCCCACAGTCTCCACCCTCCTCCGCCCCCTCCTCCCGGCGGCGGGGTCCCGGGGAGCGCAGGCGACGGGGCGTCGCGCGAGTCCTGCAAAATGTCAACTCCTTGGGCGAAGAGAGGCGGCCTCAGCCAGGGCCGCGCCGGCCCTCCCCGGCCACTGCACTTTTATTGGCGTAGGAAGCGAGTGTGGCCCGGACGCCGGAGTCCACGCCTCCCCGCGCCCCCCGCGCTCCCGGCCGGCTCCCGGGGCGCTGCCTTACTGCGGGGCCGGGACGCCGGCTCCCCGCCGCGTCTGCGAACCGGTGACCTGGTTTCCCCTCCGGCCCTCCCGGCGGTCCCACTCGCGCAGCGGCGGCGGCGGCGGCCAAGAGCAAGCAAACCCGGCTCCGCCAGGGGCGCAGCGAGGAAATGGCCTCCCGGCCGTACACCCCGCCGCCGCCGCCGCCACTCCGGGCCGCCTGGCCGGCCCACCTCACCCAGCCCTGGTCCCCCCCACCCCGGCCCGGCTGGGGGCCCACGCTCGGACGCGCCCACCACGCCCGGCTCGTCCACCCCTACCCGGCCGCCGACGCGCACACCATCCCGGCCAGCCGCCTCCGCACCTGCCTCCCTAGGTGCGGGCGCCCCCCTCCTCTCAGCCCCGGCCGTGCCCTCCACCGGCCGTGCCCTCCCAGCGGTGGCGACGTTGCCGTGGGTTCGGTGGCAACGCGTCCACCCACCCCGCCGCGTGGCGCACAGGGGCTCGGGTTTGGGCATCATTCGTGTAGTTGAGGAAGCAGGAATAAGGGGCGGGTGGCAGGCGGGCGTGGGGACTGACCCTGGGAGGACGGCTCTTTCGGTGCCGGCCAGCCCGGCGCGCCCGCACCGCCGCGCTCCTCCCTCATCCGCCAAACCACTTGTGGCGCGTGTCGGCCGACTCCAGGCTCGGGCTCCTTCTGGGGCCTCCCGCCGCTCGGCAGTCTGGCGGTTCTCTCCCCATCACTACGACTTCAGGAATGGAAGTTAGGACATTACCTGCCTGTCCCTTAAGAAGGGACACTCCTCTTCCACCCCCCACCCCCATCATGCATACTCTGGAGAAGTGTATACAGGGTCGAGGCACTTACTCCACAGGATCAAGAAGAGCTGTCCATTAACTGTTGTTTGCCCTGGAAATGTACAAAAAGACCCGGAAGACAAAAATAATTTATATTCTTGAAAAGTCCTGCCCAAGCAAATACAGATTTATAACACCCCTCCACCCCCTCTTCAAGTTCTGTAGGCTAAGGGTTCAGATGGAGAGAAAATAAAGAAGCAGGCAGCTGCAGTCTGGACGAGAGAAACACTTGGAACAATACCGCGTACCTAAAAAGCTAAAATGTCGTTGACAGGAAGCTATCTATAGATGCAATAAAACTACTTTGACAAAAGAGCACAGTTATTTTCTTACAGATGGTATTAAAATAATTCCGACGTCATTATTCACTATACGCATTTATTCGTAGAATACACGTGATAGAGTTATGACAGTTTGTATCTTCAACTGTCCGAACAATATGTAGATTATTTATTACTAGCTCTTCTGGATTTCCAGCTGGTGAAGTGCGTTCTTTATTCCGGCTTCTTGGGAGCGTCTCACGGAAGGGGGTGAGAAGCCACCACCCCTACCGACAGCATAAACAACCACAGCTGCCTCGAATTGGAAGCTCTTCCCTGCGTCTGGATGCGCGGTGTTTCAGCACGCTTCAAGAGCGAAAGTTGCAGGCCCCGAGACTCCCCGGCGAGGGGGAGGGGCGTCACCCACAGATCCCATTTCCACTTGGCCCTTGGCCATGATAAACCGTGCTTTATTGTCACTCTCACTATAAGGCTGCACTAAAGAACTTTCAAGGAGCCCTGGTGGTGCAGTGGTTAAAGCGCTTAACTGCGAAGCAAAAGGTCGGCAATTCGAACCCACCAGCCGCTCTTCGACAGAAAGACGTGGCAGTTTGCTTCTGTAAAGATTTACGGCCTTGGAAACCTATGGGGCAGTTCTACCCTGTCCTGTAGGGTCGCTATGAGTTGGAATCAACGTGGCTACAATGGGTTTTTTGGTTCAGAACTTCGAGGTTGCTGTAGCTGGAGAGAAGTTGTTCTCCTTTGCAGGGAACTTCCTGGGCTGTGCTCCAAAGCTGCCCCGGGATGTTTTGGTTGGTTTGGAGAAAAGCTGTGGAGTCTGCACCACTTGTTCCAAACAGGGCTTCCAAGGATCCAGTTTCAACCCCTGCTGAGAATTTGCATTTCTAACAAGTTCTCAGGCACTGGAAATGCTGTTGGTTATGGACCAATTCTGAGAACCACTAATAGAACCCAAAAAACCCATTGCCGTGGAGTTGATTCCGACTCATAGCAACCCTATAGGACAGAGTAGAACTGCCCCATAGAGTTTCCAAGGAGCAGCTGGTGGATTCCAACAGCTCACCTTTTGATTAGCAGCCTGAGCTCTTAACCATTGCATCACCAGGGCCCCACTGTTCTAATTTTTAGAACAGCGGCTCTCAAAAATTTATTATACATAAGAATCATCTTTGGATCTTGTTAAAATGTAGATTCTGTTTCAGCCTATCTGGGGTGGAAATGCAAATTCTTAGCAGGGATTTGAAACCAAAGGAATGGATTCCAAGCCCTGGTTCCAAACATGAAGCCCTCTGGTGGCTAACTGTGGGTGAAAAACCTGGCCACTGAGGGAAAAGCCTGGCCTAGGCAGGCCACAAATTTTGACAGCCAGGTCTTCACAGGGGCAGGGACCCTGGTGAACAACTTTGTAATAAGGGGAAATGAGGGGCCAAGAGAGATGCAAGTCTTCTGTTCGTAAGGTGGATGACTAGGACCTAAAGTCTGCTGGCCTTTTTTACTTTCTTCTCTTCTTTAGTATAACTCAGAGTTAAGTTCTTTCTTAAGAAGGAAACATCATACAGAGAATAAATTATAATGAACACTGTTGCTTCCCTTTGTTCACATGGCTTTGTCTTTGTGATCACATTTTGCCTGAAAACTTCTGAAATAAAGACTAAATTAAAATACTAAACAAATAATGTGGCATTCTTCAAGCAATTCATGGCCTGTGATTATAACAATATTATGTAACAATGAGGGAGAACAATTTTAACGCAATGTTATTAAAACAACATGAACTGTTAGAATTCCATTTGAATTGGCCCTGTGAGGGCAGGCTGCGTGATGGTAAAGAAAGGTTACAGCAGAATATGGCATTTATTTTTCTAGTTTTACACAACAGGAGGTTCATGGAGGAGAATTTCACGGAGACCTGATTGAAGGCAGGAAATATTACACAAATTTTAGAGCACATAGTCCTGTGACCCAGTCCAGCTGACTGGAGAGGGAGCACAATGGATTGAATTGTGTCCCCCAGAAATATATGTCTTAAATCCTAACCCCTGTACCTGTAGTTATAATCCCATTTGGGAATGGGTTTTCTTTGTCATGTTAGTGAGGTAGTATTAGTGTAGGGTGTGTCTTAAATCAATCTCTTTTGAGATATAAAAGAGCAGATCAGGCAAGGAAGCACGCAAGCAGAAATGGAGGAAGACAGATGCTATGCCAAGGAACAGAAGCTGAAAAGAGACAAGTCAGAGCGGACAGAGAGAGGAAGCCTTCCCCTAGAGCTGGTGCCCTGAATTCGGATTTCTAGCCTCCTAAACTGTGAGAAAATAAATTTTTGTTTGTTAAAGCCACCCACTTGTGGTATTTCTGTTACAGCAGCACTAGATAACTGAGACACCATCCTTATTATCAGGATTCTACAAGGTTCAACCTGGTGACTTGGTTCAAGGAAGCAATTCATTCATATATTCCTTCATTCAACAACTACTGGAGTCAAAAGACAAACCACAGAACCTAACAGGGCTGGAATTAGGCAGAAGTAAGTGGGCTGAGTTGTGCAAGTATAGGATTGGTTTCTGTCTTTATTTAAAATTTTGACATTTTGTTCATCATGGATACTTATGGCATTAATTTTGATTTTTAAAAATATTACATTAAAATAGATTATTTCTCTTGATTGCTGAGTTTTTTGGCATCCCCTTAAATTTTGCAAGAGGCGAGTGCCTCACTTGCCTCACCCTAGTCCCTGCCTTGCTGTGCTCTCAATGTTACCGGAGTCTAATCAGAGAAGTAAAATTCAAGTTAGAATTTGCTCCGTGTCAAGGATAATTAATATATGATAAGGGACTTGAGGGGTCCTGGTGGCACTGTGGTTAAGAGCTCAGCTGGTAACCGAAAGTTCAGCAGTTCGATTCCACCAGCTGTTTGGAAACCTTATGGGGCAGTTCTACTCTGTCCTATAGGGTCGCTGTAAGTTGGAATCAACTCGACGGCACTGGATTTGAATTTTGGTTTTTTAAGGGACTTGAGGTTAGAGGTGGTTAGAAGTGTGGGTGAGAGAGGAGGGGGGAAAATCAAGGAATATGTCGCTAGAAGAGGTAGCACTAGAACCAGTCCATCAAGGACGGACCAGATTTTATTAGCGAGCGTTGGGACTGGAAGAAGTACCATTCCATGGACAGAAATCACTGGCATCCTTTCATTCATTTAACAACTACTTCCCAGGCTGGCTGGACAGCTGAAGGACTCAACCCTGGAGATTCATCGTTAGTTCTGGGAACTTATTTTTTATATGAAGACCCCACTGATTCTGGTTCACGATCAGCAGGATAAGAGTACAACGTCTTCCCCTGTCCTTCAGGAAAGACAGACTGTTAGGGAAGATGACATGTTCAAAATTAACTCTAATTCAAGGGTGAAGTTACAATAAGAAAGATATAAATTGCTATGTGAGAGCTGGCGAGAAGGCCAAGATGACCCAGAAGAGTGGAGGGGATCAGGTAAGGTTTCCTGCAGAAGGTGGCTGGGAGAATAAAACTGAGAGAGGGAAAAAAAGAAAGCTGGCAACATAATTTGTGGGGTCCAGTGCACAGTGAAAATACAGGATCCCTTATTCAAAAAGCAGGGAAAACGTGCAACTAAAGGTA